GGAAAACGCAGCCCCTTGCCCGCCCCCCGCACTGCAGCTGCTCGCAGCCCGCGTGGGGCTGCCTGTGGCTGCTCAGGACAGCCCCGCGCAGGCTGTGAGCTGCTACAGCAGGGAGCAGCAGCCACAGGGCAGGGGAGGGGCCACTTTTGCCCCGCACTCAGCACCAGCTCATTCCCAGCCGGCGAGCGCAGGGTCGGGGTTGCGTGCTGCCCCCTGCCCCTACCGCAGGGCTGAGGGGAGCACTGAGAGTGAGTGAATGCAGGAGCCAGTGGGACCCACACCGGTGTCCCAGGCCCAGCACCAGCAGGGCCCAGAGCAGGGCAGCAGGAGCACAGGGTCCCGGCTGGCAGGAGCTCTATGGAGCCGGGGCAGCTCCCTCCTCTCCCTGCTGGTGCAGCTCAGCCCGGCTCACAGTCCCTTGCCAGCCTGCTTGCTCCACTTTCCCTTGCTCCACTTTGGAGCACCTTCATTTGAACCCTCATATAATGAAGGTTAAATTGTCATGTGACTGGAGCACCTGGCAGCCATGCTGTTCTGTTAGGGCACAGCTGTAGAGCACTTTCAAGGAGCTGATCTCCCAACAAATATAATTTCTGTCTGCGCCCACAGTGCCAAACACCATGGGCCCTAATATCCGTTAAAAAATATTTAGAATCTAATGTAATACAAACACCACCGCTTGGGTACCTTTTCTGAAAGAATGGGAAGCTTATTCCAGGTGGCTAGAATGCTGCTCCAAAATCCAGCCAGCTTCTCTCTTTCTTATAGCTCTGGGCACATTTAGATTAATGGAGTGCTTTGAGCCAGGCATATATTCATAATCTGTACTGGAGAAGCATGATGAGAAATATACTGGTGTCAAATTAATCACATTAATATAGTGTTGTAAACTAATGTTGCTGCTTTTTGCTAGGAGAGACATAACCAATTAAATCTATTGTAGAGGCCACTTTGTGAAGAAAAAAAGACTATAATGGAAATGCAATTTTACTGCTCCATTATTGAGAGATAATGAGGTGGTGTCAACATGAATTACCATGTAATCGCCATAGTTTCCAAAGGTGTATGGCATGTCATTACTGTAAAAGGGCATGCACCTCACACAGTTAACTACTATTAGCACTGCATATTATAGTCATGTTAAGGAAAAGGCAATGGTGTTGTGGCCCTCTCTCAGGGGTTCACAGAACAATGGATGATTTTACACATTATGGGCTGTATTGTATGTTCTCATGAGTAAAAAATACAAGACATCAGTGAGACAGCCTAGAAGCTTAAGCAAAGGTCACTTTTGGAATTGCCTTCTTGACTCAGAATTTCTTCTTGGAACATCTACACTAGGAAACTGCTTTACTTTAGAAAACCTATTGACTAACATACTTTATTCTACCATGATGGTAAGATTTTTTTTTTAGCTGGTCTGGTGATAATTATCTTAGAGTTTGAATGTTGATTTCAAGGTTATTGATGATTATCTTGCATGTTTCTAAGTATTATTTGTCCTTGTCCAAACTAAGGATTAAATCATGTTTAATATATCAGTTTGTGCATAAACACAGCCTCAATGCTTCTCTCCATAGGGAGCAACATGTGAGACGCTTGATATGAATCAAGGTTTTCTGGCTTGACAGATCCCTAGAATCTGCACAGCCAGTCAAACTGATTTCTAGAAACTCTGTTACCTTTGTCCCCTTCTTCTGCCTGGACATTGGGGTTGGAGCAGGCTTCAAAATTGCTGTGAGCAACAGCAACTCTCACACAAGCAGTTATTTGACTATCTGGCACCAGACTGCTAGTCGTGAACTCCCTGGCATCAGGCTTTCCTGTTTTTGTCACATTTCTCCCATCTCTGAACCACTGACCCCCAACTAGTCAGGGTATGGGTGAGGGGCCATTTCTAGCTCTCATGCAGTAGAAAGATCAAACCTTCCTCTGCGTGTTCTACTCCACTTATACCCACTTTCTCCTTTCTAGCTATGTAAGTGAGAAGAAATGGAGAGACTTCAAGTAGTCAATAATATTTAGGAGCAACTGGAATGGAACAAAAGTAGCCCTTGTTCCATACAACCTCTACTACAGTTCCATCACTGAACCTCCTAAATCTTGTGCAAGACCTGAGATCTTTAATTATATTTCAAGACAGTCCTCAGTATTTATTGTACATCTCAGCAAAATATGGATTCAAACGTATGTCCATTTATACACCTGTGCATATATACCAATGTAACAATATATGCTGTAAATGTATCTCATTGTATTTTAGCAGTATTCAGATTCTAGTTTAGATCCACTATATTTCAGCATTTGAAAATATTGCACAGCATGTATGTACATATTGCATCAGCTAACAGACTAATATAGAAAAGAGCCTTACTGCGTTTCAATAATGTTTCACATGCATTCATGTTGCTACATATAGAATAGTAAACATACCCATTACAGAACACGGAAAAAAGCATGCCCGAAGAACAATAGCTGCACACTGTACCACTATACCATACAAAATTAAGATAATATGTGTTTCTTTCAGCTTACCCAAATCTGTAGCTTAATCCTTTTTTCATTTTTGAAAACTGTTTTGACTTTGAAATCGATCCCGACCGTGCTTACAAATGCAGATGTAAAGGAATCATCAGCATAACGAAACAAAAAGGAGGTTTTCCCAACACTGCTGTTGCCAATGATGAGCAATTTGAACATGTAATCAAAGTTCTGGTCAGATGTGTCTTTCTGGCCATATCTGGAATCTTGAGCAGATGCCATCTGTAATTCAAAATAAAAAGGTTTTTTTTCTTATGGTCTCTCACATCCTGCATATTAAAGCCATTTATATTTTATTGGATTCCTTAGCAATAGAAACCAATGAATTCAGGAACAAGTTTGCAGAAGCCCTATGTCTTTCTTATGAGTCTGGTATCCATGACAATAATTCCCACTGCAAAAGACAATGGCAAAACTTACAGTATAGTTCCAGGAAGATGGTTCATCAGGGCTATCATTGTTGATTAGTATAAAGAAACTCTCAAAATGACTAGAGCAATTACTGAATATAGTACAAAATCTAGAGTCTACAATCACAAAATGTTAGGTATGTGATAATATTCTTTCATAAAAGTGCCGAAATTAACCAAGGAAAAAGGTACCATAAGACCTCCTGTTCCTGTATGAAAGGAAAAATAAGAAAACAATGCAGGCTGTGGCAGCATACAGTATATAGGTATGATTCCCCCTTAACTCTATTCTTTGCTTTTGTCAATTAGTGACACAATGTTAAACTATTTTAGATCTAAAATAACTACAGGACTTGTCCTAGGTAATAATCCATTGCAATATCTATATCCTTACCCAAAGTATTTAGCCACTACCCTTTTTGTTATCACCTTTGACTGACTTTATAAACATGTCTGATATATGGCTTCATCTCCATTTCCCCTTTAGTCTCTTCTATATTCTGTAACAGAATACTGGATGCAGTGGTAATGAAGCACAGTAGTACAGGGGATAAATGCTGACATTACCAATCTTTAGTCTCTAAAATTAGACACTTACATCTGTATTTAGACAGATAAATAGCAACTACATATTCTTAGCACCCCTTAAACCAGGCCATTTTACATAGAAGCCTTAATATGCACAAATCTCAGTTTTAATTTATTAAAAAGTAAAATTTCTAGCAATCAGACTTTCAGAAAACACCTTGAAAACTTGACCAACATATTAAAAAAAAAAAAAAAAATCAGGAGGCCAAGGAAAAGAAGCTAATTTTATCATTGTTATTTAAAATCTTGTGATTTTTTTTTTTAAACCAATCTCATTATTTTGGGATCCTGACATGGGTTTTAAATACTTTCATTTGGCAGTCCCAATAGCAGTGTGTGCACTGTGGCTTCAGACAGGAAGAACAACCAGCAAACCTTAACTTATGACATATCTCAGGGACTGTCCAACTTCTGAGTGGCCAGGGTTGCACTCACACAGACCACACTAGTGGAGTCATATGCCCTGCAGGCTGCACATTGCATAAACAACCCCTGTGTTGCACCACATGCTTACACCCCTCCCCCACCCCCCCTACAGGGTGCCCACACAGGTGGCTCCCCACTGCTGCAATGACACCATGTGGATACCCCCCGCACCATTATGCCACATGCCCACATGAGCACCCTTCCCCACCACACTGCAGCACACATCCCTGTGGGTGCCCTACGGGTACAATTCGCATGAACATGGGGACCACCATCACCACCACAGCTTCACCATGATCTCTATGACACGCTGTGCCTTGATGCACCAACCCCTCAGGTGCCCGCAGGTCAGGAAAGCTGGAGGACGGAGGGGAAGCCCCAGTACTCGGGCTGCTGTGGTAGCTGGAGCAATGTGAGGAGGGTGGCCAGGCAAGAGTCCTGGGGGCGACAATTTAACTCCTCATGGGCCACATGCAGGTAATCCACAAGCTGCAAAGTTGGAAAACCCTGACGTGTAAAAGCAGCTTCAGTCAAAACTTGCTCACTTGGGTGTCTAAAGATAGGCAACTCAATCAATATTTGAACAGTGGCTGGATGCATGACACTGTCTAGGGAGGCCAAGCTCTTTGTTGACCTATACTCTTTTACCAAGAGTTAGGGTGAAGTGACACATTAAACCTAGAGCACAAGAAAACTGTAGAATGTTAAGTGGTGTTAAAATTAGATAAAATAAAATAAAATAAGTGCTGTGATTAGTTGTTAAGGGTTAATACTTTTTCTTGCCTGCACCGCTCTGACTTGCCACTAGAGAGCTGGTGAGCAGGGGCATGGCTAGGAGCCAGGACACCTGACCCTATCACTGCTTATGGGGTGGAGGGGAGCTGGAAGCAGTGCATCCTGGGATTCTGGAGTACTGCGAAGTGTTTGTTTTACCTCAGTGGAGTGGACTGATGTTACCCTAACAAAAGCTAGGTTGCACAGCCCAATTAACTGTCACCTGAAATGGCCTAACTTTGAGATGTTCAGAGGGTACTCGGTACAAGTTAATCAGCTTTAATTTGCAGATGCTTATGTTTTAAGTGCCCTTAGTATGGCCTAAGTGTAATATGTAACCTCAGCATTAGATAATAGTGTAAAACTTTAGTAAATTCTGTTGATTCACTGCCAAGGACAACCTCACCAGGCTACTTTAAAGGAGACTCAACAGGAGACTCCAGTTTTGGGGCAAAAACTTAAGTGAAGGTTTACATTATCAGTACAGCAAAATTCTAGAAAAGAGGTAAGTCTGACCTTACATAGGATGTATAACCTTTACCTGAAACCAAGTGGAATAATGCCACAAGCTCACAGGTACCTAAACACCCAAGTTTCAGACTTACTGAAAACTCCTAATAGCCATTAACTGCCAGAAACCAAAGTTGACCAAATATTGATTCAATAAGCTAAGTTTAGGCATGTAGGCTTAGACATAATGGCCATAGTACTTATAAATTGACTTCACTGATGTGTTCTTTATGAGAAGTAATTAGTAAATATTTCAGTTTTATATTGCAAAGCTGTAATTATTACCAACAGCACACATCAATATATTGTTCACCTTTTTTTCTTTAAAAAACAAACAAAACCTCTTCACCTTCACTCCTCCTCCTGATTTTAAGTATCTTATAATTCTTTGTAGACAGATGCAAAAAAGAAAATTAAATGCTGTTTAAACTATCTAATTACAGTTTTGTGTGCATTTAAAGCTTTACACGGTATGCAGTTTACAATAACATCCAAGCCATCACCATGAAACAATAAAGGTGTTGCCTGTCTTATTTCAGTCTGTCAGGATACTCCGTTCTACCTGAAATCTCAGATAAGGTTGCATCTGAATCCACCACTATAATGCAGCATCTAAACCCAATGGCTCTCAATCCATAACTAGAACAAGTAGGTGGGGAAAGAGTCCTTTAACTTCTTGACATTATTACCTGAGAACTGGCTTTCTCACTTCAATTAAAGATATTCAGAGTGAACAGGTGTTAGTTTTCAATTCACTTGCTGGAACAATTCCTATATGACTTGCACTTCCTTTGTAGGTACTTTAATGCTTACCAGTCAGGAACCAGTATAGCTGAGTAAACTGAGAAGTCAAGAGACCTGCATTCTAGTATTCACAGCTTTGCTGAAGGTTGTACATTCTGCAGCACTCTTGGGTAAGTGTCCTTTTCTTTCTTATCTGTTTAAACAGAATTTACCTACAAAGAAGTTTAGCTCATCTCCTCTCTAGTAACATACTCATGTTCCTATTCCCTCCCACTTCCTTTTCCAGTTCTGGAAAAAAAAAACAAAAAACTAATATTTTGTACAGTATATACTCTGCAGTAGAAGCCCAGGTCCTACTTTATCTATCAAATGCTTAAATATATTAAGGGGCATAAATGCAATCCTAATTCCACTCTGTTCAAGTCCCTCAAATTCCATGGGTACATCCACGTAAGCGTGCATGTGCATTTCCCCAGGGACAAATACCAGTGGCACATAGTTGTGTATTACTACTTGTTCCTGGGGAACACTCATACACGCATGCCCTGATGCATGCCTGGTGGGGTAGAGGAGGCTGGGGCCATCATCGGGCCTGGCCCCAGCATTCTTAGCTGGGTTCCTGAGGACTTCCCATGGCTTTAGCAGTGGGATTTCCCAGTGTCAAAAAAAACCTGCTGCACTGCAAGTTAGCAATGCAGTGAATACCTGCCTGTGTGGCTCACGCAGTCTACGGCACCACATACCGCATATGCATTCTCATCTGGATGTGCTCCATGAGCGCATCTATTTTTATGACATGCCTGTCATTCTATCACTGAAACTAAGTCACCTAAAACATTGTGGACCCACCTATCTTGCACTAAGCATAGTCCTCTATATAAGGTGTAAGTGATTCTCAAGATTCATTTTTTTTCTTACTCCTAAATCCTAAGATTACAAGGTAAACAGGGCGGTGGCATGGACTGAGAATGTATGCATCTGAAGCATGGATTTATGTGTCCTTCACCATAAAAATGAGACACTTCATAGTGTTCCTCTCTTTTGCTACAGTAACTTGTTCCTAGGCAGAATTAATTGGACTACTGGGGAACAATTTTCTTGTTAAAACACGACTGTTTTCCAGAACTCCTTGCCTTGCTCATCACTTAGCTCACATTTATATGTATAAACTGAACACTCTGCTTTATGTCGTGCAGAACAAATCTTGCAGGGACTGGCCAAGAAACGCCTGTATCTGTTCCTTTACATATGTTACAAATAATATTTTTTCACCAAAAACAGAATAATAAAAAGTACATATAAACCAGAAGATTTATTTCCAGAAAAGTAGATCTTATGTGTAGAATCTGAATGGTAGCAACAAGAATCCCTTTTTCTATCCATACCAAGGTCAAACACTGATTGATTTCTTCTGTTATAATGATTTATAGAATATTTCAAGGAAGAGTGTTTCATTTTTTTCATATAATTATGACAACTCTGATTCAAGACGTGTTACTACTGCTTACTACAAAGACTCCCTCTCACCATTTTGATGCATGTAGCTCTCATTGTCAATACAAAGGAGAATCAGAATATTTTACAGAAAGAATCTGGATAATCTTGAATAAAAATCTGGGTGATCTGGTATTAAAAAAGGTATTGACACTGGAGTTATGGATATAGCCTTTGAATCAGAACTTCCTAAACCTTAAATGCTGGAGGCTGAAAGTGAGAAAGAAAGAGTAGAAGAAACCATGGTCATGGTCAGTTCACTCTCCCTTTCAGCAT